CCCCAAAACCCCAAAACCCCAAAACCCCAAAACCCCAAAACCCCTCTAGGGTTTTTACAGATTGAAATTTTGAGTTGTTTGAGTGGAGTTTAGAAGGTTTTGGTGTTGATGAGAAATTTCAGAGACTTGGTATGAGGTTTTTATGTGTGTTTGGTAGTTTTAGGTTCAGAGAAGAGGGGTAATTGCTTAAATTAATCGAGAATAAAGAATTCTAAACTCTAATAAAAATCTTTATGTAGCTAAAATACATATCAAAGTCCATTATCCCTAGTTATTCTTGTAATTTTTAAAAAATTATTCCTTCTTTTCTTTATTTTCTTTTTCCTTAGTTTCATTTTCCTCTTTTCCTATCTTCTTCTTTGGGTCTTTGGACATGAATACTTTAGTAAACAAGTAAGCTACAGCCAAAGATATCAGACCAATACAGTTGGTACTTCTACAATATTTTATGATGTTATCACCTGTCCTAAGCAGGTAGAGTCACCCCAGCTGGGTAATCATGAAATGAGTCAGCACAGTAGCCAACACCTTTCTAAGAATCTTTGGCATGAAGCCGAACATATCCCCATGCTTATGTATCTTCCTCGATGTTGACAGCAACAAGTCTAGGCAGAAGAAAAAGATGTAGTAGCAAGGTAAGAATCCATGCCAGAGAGCAGAGATAAGGAATACAGCTAGAGTGGCTTTCCCTTTACGCTTTGGATCTCCTCTTTCAAATCTGATGTAGATATAATTTCTCAACCAATTCGAAACCTGAAAGTTCCAGTTGTTAATGATTTGCCTTGGGCTTGTTGCGAGCTCAATATTTGCCCAGCTAAAAGCCTTAACACTATTGTATTCATTTTTCTCTTTTCTCCCTGAAAAACCTAAACCGCTCAAGATACTTGTTCCATCAGCGAAGAACCATCAAGCAAAGGCCGAGTATTTGAAATTCATGACAAAAATATAAGAGTAAAACAGCTGTTTTAAAAAGTTCATCTCTGCGAACTCATCTGACACCAACAGATCTTTTGAAGCTATACTTCCTGATACCAAAAGGATAACAAAACATGGAATTCCTTTGATATACTTGGTAAAGCCCTTCCAAAAGTCAAAAGGAATGTTACGGTACTGCCCCTTTTGATCGATAAAGTCAATATAGTACTTGTACTCAAACGAGGGCCCAATGTAGCACGTGCATGGGTATGTAGCATAACTAACAATTTCTACCATGGTTGGTATCTTGAACAATTTACACTTTCTGTTACTAAGTAATATGGACTCAGATGTGTTACGAGTATGATCATTAAGTTCTTTATCAAACTTGCCCATGCCATCTTGGTATCAGTAGCCTAGAGTTGACAGCTTCTGGCACAAGAACATTACGTAGAAGCAGTATGTGATCGCCGCATCTCCGTAGCGGTAGATACACTCGAGGGTTAAGTAGAACGTTGAATGGGACATAGCAGCAGCGAAGATTATGAATCCTTGTTTTTCGCGACTAATCGTGTGCATTAATATCTTTGTCACAACACACATCAATAAGAAATGTATCATTCCTTCTCTGAACAAGAAGTACTGCATTACAAACCCGACTGAAATGGCATAAAAATGCCTATTTATCCATCTATACACAAAATCACCTCTACCCCTAATTCCAATTGGCTAATTTACACATTAGCTCAATTACGTCATTTAAATTTCCCCACTTAACTCCCTATCCAAACCTCAAAATCTCCAATCTCCCTCAAAAATCCCCCTTAAACCCCTTTAATCCGTCCTTTTCCCACACAAATCCCGGCCTCCTCTCTTAGTCTGCTTACCTTATTCTAAATCCCAGTGCTATGAAGAATGATGACAAGTAAATTATGAGAACTCGGACACCAGTGTAGTGAAGGCCAGTGAGGCCAGCCAAGTCAAGCACCCATGCGTCGATAGGGTCGAGGATGGGGCTGAGGAAAGGGGCCAAGGTGAGTTTGGATGATATTAGATCCATTTTGGGTATCCAAGTGTGGTTAAAATGTATTTTTAATTTTTTGTGTTGGGGTTTTGGGGTTTTGGGGTTTTGGGGTTTTGGGGTTTTGGGGTTTTGGGG